ACGGGAAGCGGATCTGCTGCCGGTCAGGGGGCGGGAGAGCGGCGTGAGGCGAGGCGGGGCGGAGAGGAGAGGGAAGCGAAAGCCCCGGGGTGGGGCTGGACGATGCGTGTCTGCCTGAGGGGAGAAGCGGGGAAGGCTCCGCGGTAAGGAAAGGCTGTTGAGCCTTCAGGATGCTGATCGGGGTTCCCAGCCGGTTTCCCGCCTTTCATTCTTCTCCTCGGGTTCGGGTTTTGAAACGCTGTGTGTGGTTTTCGGTGGGGGTGGGGGTGGAGAGCAAGTCCCCTTGAATTCAACGCTGTGCTTGGTAGTGAACGGTGTCGCTTCGGATTGCGGCTGAGAGGCTGTCCCTTAGGATTCAGTCTCCTCGGGAGGAAAAGAAACACCTCTTGAGACCGGCTGCCTTCCTGGCATGTGGGAAAGCAATAGGGCCGAGGAGAGTGGAAGGCAGAAGGAAAAGAGGAAGAGCGAACGCGAGATAGATTGACTCAATAAAGGAACCCACGGCCTCGAGTTGCCACGACCTGGCCGGTTAATAACAGGACATATCGTTCATAGGTTGCCCTAAATTGGAAGCGAGTTAATGGCACATAAATAATATTTATTCCACTGTTCTCCTGCACCTGCATCCTGAGGTGTTACAGTGGGAGAAAAGTTTTACTGCAAGAGCCTCGTTGCTTTTAGGTATTTCTGCCGCTTGACGTTCTGTTGCTTTTGCAACAGACTAGCAGGGCTGTTGTTTTGTAAACGGAACCTCAAGAAAGGGGGTACAGTTCGCAGAGGTTTGGGCAAAAAAAAAATTGTTAGTGCAAGGTGCGGTAAGACTGTGTTTACCCTGGAAATTTTTAACAATTCTTACCATTAACATTTGTTGAATATATAAATTGACTTTCACTGGAGTATACAGTTTGAATGCAGCATTGATTTTGCTGTTAATTACCAGTTTTATTAATTTTCACCTGTAATGTTGTTGAAAAATACAGTAGCATAAATAAAATAACATTTTGGCATTTTCATAAAATTTGTACTAATGGGGAAGAAAAGTGCCTGTCACATATATACAGTAATAGTGAAGAAAGGGACAGATATCACTTTGTGGTTTGATGCAATTAGCAGATGGGCTATTGTAGGTCTATGAAATTTTGCATATATTTTGAAAATATTTAACTTTCAATGCATTGCTATACATATTAAGTTGGAAACAATTCCATCAAACTAAATGATGTCTAGCGCTGTAGCTCATATTGTGATTTCATGAAGATATGCATTTTTCAGTTTGAAAACTAAGGGTATTATTATTATTATTATAAATCATCAGTCACATTAAATAAATATTATTGTTGTTGTTGTTGTTGTTATAAATCATCAGTCACATTAAATAAAAATTATAAAACATTGATTGGTATCACATAACAGATAAGTTTTTACCAAAACATTGATTGGTATCATATAACAGATAAGTTTTTACCAACTGCTAAATATCAGCACAGTATGTATGCTGTTCCTAATATTTCTGTTTTTTGTAGCTCTGATGGTGTTATTTCTGATATCTGCAATTGCATTTAATACTGTGTGAATTGTTATTGTTGTTGTTATTATTAAAGTGCCTGGAATACAAATCACATTGCTTTTATTGGAGAGAAAGGTGATTAATGTAAATGAAATGAAATATTAGTACAGTATCTGTAATTTCTTTCAGAGAATGAAACAATAATTTTTCCCACCCAACATTAGTTCTTTTAATTTAATCTGTGTTTTATGTTGATTTTGTTTTTCAGTTACACAGAAGTAATAATAAAACATGGGAAACCCAGAGCTTGTAACAGATGCTTATGTGGCTGTTATTCGTCCAAAGAATACTACAAGTCTGAATTCTCGTGAATATCGTGCTAAATCATATGAGGTAAAATGGATTTTTTTAAAAAAGGTTTAAAATAACATTAGATGAATGCAGATTTTCTGATTTCAATTATATCTCACTCTAGATATACTTAGAGTATATTCAAGTACAGTTGGAAATTTAAGACATACAGTACTCTGGAAAGGACTGTTGTGTAGTTTTGCAAGAAGAACTTCTGGGCATGTGCACAACTGGTTGCACGCTTAGAAATACAACCAATATGTCATTCATTAGAGCAATTTACCGTCATGATATATGCATTTTCCCTTACTAAAGCATAAACTGCTAGGAGGATTCTGGCCATTATATACTATTCATTCCTAAATAAGTCCATGTTAATTCTGATAATTGATAAAGTAAACGTAAAGGTTCCCCTTGACAATTTTTGTCCAGTCGTGTCCGACTCTAGGGGGCGGCGCTCATCCCGCTCTTCAAGCCATAGAGCCAGCGTTTGTCCGAAGACAATCTTTCCGTGGTCACATGGCCAGTGTGATTTAGACACAGAACGCTGTTTACCTTCCCACCGAGATGGTACCTATTTATCTACTCGCATTTGCATGCTTTCGAACCGCTAGGTTGGCGGGAGCTGGGACAGGCGACGAGAGCTCACTCCGTTGCGTGGATTCGATCTTACGACTGCTTGGTCTTCTGACCCTGCAGCACAGGCTTCTGCAGTTTAGCCCACAGCGCCACCACGTCCCTTGATAATTGATAGAGGGACTTATATCAAAGCTTTTTAAAATACAAAACCTGAGGCAAATGAATAAATTGGCATCAAAGCTCAAATATACAAAACAAAAAGAAAATTCTGTTAATGAAATGTAAAGAAATTCCAAAGAATAATGAAATGATACAATTTCAAGAAAGTTTATAGCAGCTGATTTTCTGCTGTGTTGTTTGTAAAGAGATTTTAATGCTTTGCTATAGTGTACTTTACTGTCTCATTTGAGTACTTCTCAATATTTCTTGCTATTTGTGTTATTCTGTGCATAAATGGATGTACTGTTTGAACAAAAACCTTCATTGTGAAGCAAAATATTTTTGCTAATAGTCTTTCTGAATGTAATGTAATGTTGCTACAAAATGAAGTGTGTGTGCCTTGGGGTACCTCATTGTAGCTTTTGACTGCAGGTCCAGCATGTGCTGAGCATGAACCATTGTTCTTTCAAAACAGATGACAATCTTTGTTTTTAATTTATCTTTAATTTGTTTATTGCAAGATTTTATTGCTTGAAGTTCCCATCGAAGGGCATAAGAAAAAGAGAAGGAAAATGTTACTGGAAACTAAGCTTCAGGGAAGCAGTGATGTAACTCAGAGCATCTTGGATTATATAGTAGAAATCACGAAACCAATTTCACCAGGAAACCAAGGTATTAAAGGTAATGAACTTTTTTTTTTGCCTGCACGTCCATAAACTAAAAATATGGTTCTTTTTTTTAAAAGATACATTTTGTATTATAGCCACTAGCATGCAGCATAGCTAAAACAACACTGCAGAGTTCCACTGCTTGCCACTATTAATCTCCAAGGAGAAGAAATATGCAGCAGAATGACAGAGATGTTGATGTATGGTACACCGGTAAAGACTGTGTCTTTAAAAATCTGGATTGAGGCTGTTTGATTATTAAAATCATTGGTTAGCTAGGTCAGGCTCAGAGATGGTGACTGGCTTACTCCCATCTGCTGAGCTTCAGAGGTAAAAAGGAATTTGAATCCTGCTCTCTCCATTCCTAGAAGAGTCCTTTGACTAATAGAACTATCAGTTTTTGTCTGCTTTTTAATAGACTGAGCAAGAAAGTAATTTCAGGTATTAATTGTCAGATGTTTCTTTATTATGATGATATGCAGGAAAAAGAGTACTGGTAATGAAGACGTTTCCTCTTGATGGTGAGAAGACAGGAAAAGATGCATCTCTTTTCGTTGTGCCAACAGTTGTCAAGGGTAAAATTTAATATGTAAATCTCAATGTTGCCCATTTATGGAGGGAACTAATGCAATTTTCCTTAAAATGTACATGAATCCTGTAATCCTAATTCCACATCATCCAGTTCTTTAAGGGTTTACTTCGTTGCTTCAGTAAGTAGTTTCTATTGACTTATTCAAAGAAAAGGAAAAATACACTATAATTAGAATTTGTTTATAAAATATTTGTTCTAATACCATGTTTCCCTGAAAATAAGACAGGGTCTTATATTAATTTTCGCTCCAAAAATGCATTAGTCTTATTTTCAGGAGATTTTTTTCATGTACAACAATCTACATTTGTTCAAATACAGTCACGTCATCTTCTGGTTGCTGCACAATGGTGGAGGGTGAGGTTTCACTTCACTGGGGCTTATTGTGGGGGTTGGGCTTATATTAAGAGCATCCTGAAAAATCAAGCTAGGGCTTATTTTCAGGTTAGGTCTTATTTTCGGGGAAACAGCGTATCAAATTATAATGGTTCATTCTTTTAAAAAACAGTAAGAAACTTGGTCTTTGTAACATATAAAGCTTATTTTATTTTAAGAGTATGAATTTATACTACTGTTGTAGATGAATTTCCCATTTCCTTTTGGATTACACTCTGGGTCTCAAGTATTCTGCCCAATCAGTCAAAACATAAGTTCTGCTCACTCCTCACATGTGGAATAGTTTTTTTTAAATCAACATAATTAGCTGCAATTAGCTTTTCTTCAGCTGTCTCTCATCATTGTACACAATATTGCACTTTTCCAATGAAGCAATCATTCTTTCGGACTATTAAAACAATTCTCTTTTTCTTTGTAGATAATACAAAATACACATACAGTCCTGGGTGCCCAGTTTTCTACTGTTTACAAGACATCATGAGGGTCTGCAGTGAATCTAGCTCTCAGTTTGCTACAGTTACAGCTAGAATGCTAATTTACCTGGATAAGTAAGAAATGGTTCAATAAAGCTACATCCATTTAGAAAGATAAACTAGACTACCACTAATTGATCTAATACACTTAAAGTTGTCGTCATTTTTCAAAGAGAATGTGTAGAAGCGTTAATCTCCTTCTCTCTGTCTGCCAAGATAGTTTAATTCATTTCATAGTTTGCAGCTCTTAACATTCTGAACCTCAAAGTGGTAAAGATATTGCAGACTGTGTGCATTAAAAGTCTGAAAGTTGAATCTTCAGCCTATTGTATGCTAAACTACTCTTAGGTTTTTATGTTACCAGAGTTATGCACAGAGGCGTTACAAATCAGAATGTGTGTTTTCATTCTTTTCTGATATAAGGATTGCTTCTGCACACTCCATAACTCCTTTCTATTATACTTACCTGTTCTTTACTCTTTGTTGAAAATAATGGGAAAGTTCTAGACTCGCATTGTGCAATCCTCCTTGCACACAATTTGGCCATCTAGACCAGAGGGGGGAAACGTGGTCCTTCAGATATTGGTACTGTATATTGTTTTTTCATTTATTTTGCATGACTGACTGTGCTGAATACAGCTAATAACAATTATAGTCCACCAGCTTCTTGAGATCCTCGTGTTCTGCACCTTAGTAGTAGGGCCTGTTATTAGTATCTAACATAACTTCATTTTTTGGGGGGGGAGTTAAATCTGTTGTTCAGATAGAAGCAAACGGTGATCAGTTTAGAATGATTGAGATTTAATAAGTTGTTCATCATACGATTGTAGCCTTATTAACGTCAGTGGATTAGCACAAAATGTATTTTACTCACTTCTTTATCGTTTGTAGCAGTGTATGTATTTTCAGGTGTACTGTCACTTTGCATATTGTGCTAATGATTTGCTAATATCCAGGAAAATAAAAAATGCTGATGAGTCTTGTCCATTCTGTTCTGCAGATGGTTAGAAGAAAGACATTTGCAGTCTCATTCGATACCAGCTTTATTCAGGCCATCTCCTTTAGAGCGGATTAAAACAAATGTCACAAACCCTGCATACGCTGTTGAACCTGGACAGACAGAGAGCTCACTGCACATGGGATACACTGCATTAGAAATCAAGAGTAAAATGTTGGCACTTGAAAAGGCAGACATGTGCATCTATAATCCTTTATTTGGTTCTGATCTTCAGTATACCAATAGGGTAAGAAGAGCGTTTGGTAAATGGACACCAGTGCTGTGAGATTTCACTATTAATTAGTCTGCACACTGAAATGTATTTTTATTTTATGGTTGTTTCTAGGTGGACAAAGTAGTTATAAATCCCTATTTTGGGCTTGGAGCGCCAGATTATTCAAAAATACAGATTCCAAAACGTGAAAAGTGGCAGCGCAGCATGAGCAGTGTCATGGAAGACAAGTACCATGTTATTTTAATTCCTCTGTATTTGTTCCAGGGTTGTCTGAGGCCCAGAAACATTTATTTGTTTTTATATTTTCAAAATGAGTATTTCTCACTGTTTGTTTATTTAATTATTTAACTGTCCTAGGAGTGGCTAAAGCTTTTAGATACCTTGGAAAAGGTTATGGCTACACTCAAAGCAATAAACATCATTTTAACTTCTTGCAAAATGTATTGGCTTTTTAAGTGACATTCACTATTAGTTCAATAAGCCTATGAAGTGCAATGTTACTTTAAAGCAGTATGTTCAAGTGCATTAATGGAAGTAAAGCTGACTCATTTGCTATCATGTGGATCTTATATAACATGATTGAAATGCTAAATCTTCCTGCATTTTCCATTTAGGGAACGACAGTGGGTTGATGACTTTCCTCTTCACCGTAGTGCTTGTGAAGGAGACTGTGAACTATTGAATCAACTTTTGGATGAAAATTTCTCAGTTAACCAACAAGACAGTGACCATTGGGCACCTATTCATTACGCATGCTGGTGAGCATGGTACATTTGCCAATTAACTTCAAAAGAAGGAACTGCCCATAATTACCTGTATGTAGAAAATTCTGTTTCCAAATTTCAGTCTTACTCTGGTGCAGCCATGAATGAACTGAAGTTGTTTGCATGCAGATGAAAGGGTGCGGCTATACAATTGGGTATATTTTCTCAATTCTCTTTGCACCTCTTGAGTTATTTAGGACAAATCAACTTGAAGTCTAGAACAGACATGGGAGAACAGAACTACAATTAACCATTTTGGCATTCAGGGCAGGTGGCACCATTGTCCACTCATTTCACCCTGTGGCATGGCTACAACCACCACATGAAAAAGGAGGAGGAGGAGGGGTGGCATTCTCCACAAAATAAAGAGAAAAAAATTATTTTTTATTAAAGCACGAGTTGAGAGGTGTTGCAGTCCTGAACAAGAAGGCAATATCTGAGGATCATTACAGACATTGGAATTACCAGGAGGTATTGGAGACAAGAGGGCCTTCTTAAATGAACAGTGTAAAGAAATAGAGGAAAATAATAGAAAGGGAAAAACCAGAGATCTGTTGAAGAAAATTGAGATATTAAAGGAACATTTTGTGCAAAGATGGACATGATAAAGGACAAAAATGGTAGGGACCTCACAGAAGCAGAAGACATCAAGAAGTGGCAAGAATACACAGAGGAATTATGCCAGAAAGAACTGGATGTCCTGGACAACCCAGATAGTGTGGTTGCTGACCTTGAGCTAGACAACTTGGAGAGTGAAGTCAAGTGGGCCTTAGAAAGCATGGCTAACAACAAGGCCAGTGGAGGTGATGGCATTCCAGTTGAACTATTTAAAATCCTAAAAGATGATGCTGTTAAGGTGCTACATTCAATATGCCAGCAAATTTGGAAAACTCAGCAATGGCCAAAGGATTGGAAAAGATCAGTCTACATCCCAATCCCAAAGAAGGGCAGTGCCAAAGAATGCTCCAACTCCTGTACAATTGCATTCATTTCACACTCTAGCAAGGCTTTGCTCAAAATCCTCCAAGGTAGGATTCAGCAGTATGTGGACCAAGAACTCCCAGAAGTACAAGCTGGATTTTGAAGGGGCAGAGGAACTAGAGACCAAATTGCTAACATGCGCTGGATTATAGAGAAAGCCAGAGAGTTCCAGAAAAACATCTAGTTCTGCTTCATTGACTATGCAAAAGCCTTTGACTGTGTGGATCACAGCAAACTATGGCAAGTCCTTAAAGAAGTGGGAGTGCCTGATCACCTTATCTATCTCCTGAGAAATCTATATATGGGACAGGAAGCAACAGTTAGAACTGGATATGGAACAACTGATTGGTTCAAAATTGGGAAAGGAATATGACAAGGCTGTACAGTGGTGCCTCGCTTAACGAGTGCCTCGCTGAGCGATGAAATCGCTTAACGAGGCACTCTGGGCCATCGCTGGAGCATTCGCTCAGCGATGGCCCCTATGGGGTTTTTTCGCTTTGCGATGATCGCTAAGT